AGTGGTAACATGTTAAGATTAAAGATAGAGTTGAAGTTTGCAATCTGGAGGCTCACCAGGTGTTGCATCTTGCCTTGCACCAATTATGGTAGAGGAACTAATTCTAGCCACCATTTCCCTGCCCTGAGTGGGTTGCGCACCCGTGGCCAGATCTCACCCATTGACCAGCTGTCAGAGTGCTAAACTTACAATTTGACGGTGATTATGGCCGTACTCAAAAACCGATCTTTTTTTCGAGCTGGATCAACACTTCTATTGCGATGGCCGGCAGAATACTCCAACCTACCTTAATCCTGCTGGAGGGACCAGGGGCGATGTAACTGCAGAGCGCCTGATTGCAAAGGATGAAACAGCGCGTGATCAACCAGAGCCTAACCGCGAACACGTTATTGATCTTTTGATTATCATAGACAGTCTTGAAGTCTGCCACGCGGCGCAGGCTGTAGAAAAGCTCGATGTGCTGCTCCTGGTGACTTACCAGCACCAGTAAAGCCAGCCTCGTCGTCGGAGCAGGGATCTGCCACCTCCCATGCGGTACGTCATTGGATGGCGCAAAAGGGGGTGCATCCCCGTCGAGTCACAGCCTTGCAGCCATTTTCGACCTCACAAACCCCGTCCCTCCCCCAAAACCCGTCGCAAGTGCATACGGCCCCTCCAAAGCTTGCGATTGAGTCACCTACCCAACCAAGTTTACCCGGCGCCGCTTTTTTTTGTCCCTTTTGAAGTCGGTACCCCCTTCTGCGCAACAAGCGCCCGAGATCTCGGAAGCCAGGTGAATGCAGATCCAGGTGAAGATTTTCTCGAGGTCCGCCCGACCGGCCTACCGACTGACTTTTCTTTCTCCAAGCCCAATTACATCCCCTCTTTTGCCTAGAACTAGCATCAGGCCCAGCAGTAGCAGCCGCGCGCTCCATACCACGTCCAAGTCGTCGTCTCGTAACCAAAGCGATAGCTCAGATCAACGATTGCCCAACATGGCGCCGAAAACAAAGTTTGAGCTCAAGACCCCAAAGGGCACCAAGGATTGTCAGTCCATACTTACTCTTTGCGACCCGAGACCGCATCGTACGACGGACGCGCCGGCGACTAACACAATGTTTGCTTCAAAGGGTTCGGCAAGGACATGCTCATCCGTGAGAAGATCTTCTCGCAGCTGAAGGGCGTCTTCCAGAAGCATGGCGGAATGGAGCTTGATACCCCCGTTTTCGAGTTGAAGGAGATTCTGTCAGGCAAAGTACGACATATTCCCGTGTTTACCCCTCCCCCCACCTTGCGAGAACCCCGCGATCCACTTCGGGTCCTCGACTCAATAACAAGACACAAGATGCTGATCAACACCCTCCTCCATAGTACGGCGAAGACTCGAAGCTCATCTACGACCTGGCCGATCAGGGTGGTGAGATTACCTCCCTGCGATACGATTTGACCGTCCCCTTTGCGAGATGGCTCGCCATGAACAAGGATATCCAGAGCGTCAAGCGCTACCACATCTCAAAGGTCTACCGCCGGTACGATTTACGATATCCTCTTCCTACGATGTACTCGGCGGCTAGCTGACATACTCCTTACAGTGACCAGCCTGCCATGAACAAGGGCCGCATGCGCGAGTTCTACCAGTGCGATTTCGACATCGCCGGTACCTACGACTCCATGATCCCCGACGCCGAGATTATCAAGATCGTCGTCGAAGTCTTTGAGGGCCTGGGCTGGAACGGAAACTACACCATCAAGCTCAACCACCGCAAGATCCTCGACGGCATCTTTGAGGTCTGCGGCGTCCCCGAGGACAAGATCCGGACGATATCCTCGGCCGTCGACAAGCTCGACAAGCTCCCCTGGGCCGACGTGCGCAAGGAGATGACCGAGGAGAAGGGCCTGGACGGCGAGGTGGCCGACAAGATCGGCGAGTGGGTTGTCCAGAAGGGCAAGCAGGACCTGCTCCGGAAACTGCAGCGCGACGACAAGCTCGCCGCCAACGCCTCGATGAAGGCCGGCATGGCCGACCTCGAGCTCCTCTTCAACTACCTCGAAGCCTTTGGCGCCCTCGACAGAGTGTCGTTCGACCTCTCCCTCGCCCGTGGCCTCGACTACTACACTGGTCTCATCTACGAGGTCGTGACGGAAGGTTCCGCACCAGCCGCTACCCCTGATGCGGACGGCAAGACGGCGAAGCCCAAGAAGAAGAGCAAGAGCAAGGACGACGATGACCGTTCCGACGACCCCAGCGTCGGTGTCGGCAGCGTCGCAGCCGGAGGACGGTAAGGAGAAAGAAACCTAGGTCACAGGTCTCAGGCCGCTAACAAAGGGTGGCAGCTATGACAACCTCGTGGGCATGTTCTCTGGCAAGACGCAAATTCCGTGCGTTGGTGTAAGTGTCCCCCCTTTCTCGTCAGAGCGCAAAGAGCGCGAGGAAGAAAAAAGTGACCGCGTGGAAAACTGACAGGTAGTCTAGGTCTCCTTTGGCATCGAGAGAATCTTTAGCATTACCAAGGCTCGGATGCAGGCCGAGAGCGAGGCGCCGCAAAGTACGGTTGACGTCTTTGTCATGTCCCTGGGCTCCAAGGCCGGTCTGGTCAAGGAGAGAATGGAAGTCTGCTCGAAGCTATGGGACGCCGGCATCAAGGTAAGACCATCCCATGCTCTATGCAAAGGGCCTCGACTCGAGCCCCAGAGAAGGTAATATTCGCTGACACTTTTTTCTTTCTGTCTAGGCCGAGTTCCTCTACAAGGTCAAGCCCAAGCTGCCGCCGCAGTTCAAGGCAGCCGAGTCCAACGCGACCCCCTTCGCCATCATCCTCGGCGACGACGAGGTCCAAAAGGGCGTCGTCCGCATCAAGGAGCTGGGCCTGCCCGAGGGCCACCCCCAAAAGGACGGCGAGCTCGTCGACATGGCGTCGCTGGTGCCCGAGGTGCAGAAGCGCTTGTCGCGGAAACGCGAGCTCGACAACCTCGCCACGCGGGCCGAGGGCCTGCGCGTCGTGGGCGGCATGAAGGGCGAGGACATCAAGTCCACCACGTCCGCGACGGAAAAGGAGAAGAAGGAGGAGACTGTCGTCGATACGCCTGCTGCTGGTGCCGCTGCTGAGGCGCCTGTCGCTGCTGTCTCGGAAGGGGAGAAGCCCGCGGAGGCGGCGACGACGGAAGCTACGGAGGAGAGCAAGCCTGCAGCACCGAGCGCATAGAGTTACGGTGGTGGTCAAGACTTTTAGAAGCAGAAGCACAAAAAAGCATTTGAAAATAGAAACGGCCGTCCACTGCTAAGTCAGCGATGATTTGCACTCATTACCTTGAGCTATCTATCCATCTACCCATCTACCTACTCCAAGCTCGAATTGCGATCTTCTGGTCGCGCAGTCTTACAAGCCAAACTATGTAAACCATAACCTATCCGCGGTCAGCGATTCTAATATCTCACGATCGCACCTATATCAGGTAATAGCGCATAGAAGCAAGCCAGATCGACAGGTCAGAATTTAGAAACCCCCTCCCCCGTCAAGTTTATCGTTACAGGTTTGGCGTGGATCACTTCCCAAACCACCACGTGGGGGGGGGAAGAGAGAAACAACGAGTGGCGTAAGTAGGCACGGTAGGTAGTCAGAGCAATGTCCGTCTTTTTCCACCATGTTACCTCACAAAGGAAACGCGAGAGCTCAAAACAGAAGCCCCTAGCGGGTTGCAACGGCGGGATTGTCAGGCACCCGCCGCACGCAAAAAAAGCTTGGTTCCGTCGCACCATGGAGGATCTAGTGCCGAACTCATTGCGCGCAGGGACTTGTCCGTGAACTTGGTCGGCTAGTCTTAGTCTACCAAGCTATTCGTGCGTTGTTCGATCAGCTTCGAGCTCGAGGAATCAGATGGCCTGATGTAGGAGAGCACATCTCTCTTGGTAGCTTCGTCGATCATCTACTGGTAGACGACCCCGGATATCTAGGTAGGTATACGACGTACTGTCCAAAATTAGTGTATCCGTAGGGGCAAGAGAGAGAAGATCCGGGGTCGGCAGGGTATGAAGAGAAAACGCCCGCGACGCGAGACTGAGGTCATTCGCAGATGCTCGCGGTCAAATGAGCCGTTTCCATACCGAAGTGGACGTCCCGATTCCCATCTTCTTTCGCCTTCTCTTTCTCTGTTATTCAATCTGACCCGCGCTAGTCCCTCTACCCCTCACGACCGGCCCTGGAGCCTGGACTCGACGATAAGCAGTCGGGTGGGGGTTTCCAGGAATCCAAGGCGCATAACCCCGCCGACATCGTGATAGGGCGAGCAGGGCTCGAGTCAAAGTTGACAGGGCCTCAGATCAGGGCCTGTCCAGAGGTGACAGGGTCAGAAAGGCTGGGAAAGGCTTTGCGGAACGCCGACAAGGAGAACTTGAGCGCATTTGCTGCAGGCGAAGAATGGATCGAAAGCTGCACGAATCGGTCGATTGACGGTTGGGAACTGGCACTTGTGGTGTGGTTTCCGTCCGCTACTGCAGGAGGGACCGGGCCTAGGTGCAGCACAACGTTCGTCTGAATTTTTTAAGGTATTTTACTTTTTTGGAAGAAATTCTTGCCTGTCCGTTGTGCATGGCTGGTTGTTCCATGGCCATCCCGCGAGTTGGGGTTCCTGCTATAGTATCAATCACAAGAAACATGTGGCGAGTGTTACACTTGTCAGTCATACTCTACGAGACTTACTCACCTAAGTTATGCTCACAGCTTGTTGCATTGCATTCAGCTTCAAACGAACGCCACCTACACAGAACCTGGCTGGCTTCGACAAGTCGTCAAACTTGGAAATGCGAATCAGCCTACTGCTTGATCTTGCGGTGAGAAGGAGAAGTGTGCAAGCACGGACGTCCATTGTGCAGCAGCACCACGATTGCAACCGTGATAAGGGATTGGAGGTGCATGCCGTCTAGAGTCCATGGAGATCTGTGCGGATGTCCACAACGTGGTGGTGATGGGGAGGAGGAATTGGGGGAACCCAATAGCCTACAGACGAGCGGGGGAGACGGAAATGTTTCGTTTCAGTCCCAATTTTTGATGGTTCCGAGTCCGTGAGGCAACGCTGAGGCCTCGTCCTTGGGATCAAGTTTGCATCTAGGCACACGACCGTCGTTCTCTGGCGTCTGGCTCGCCCCTGAAATCGCAGCTACGAGAAGGAGCACGAGCTACGCAGATGGATCGTATGCGTCGCGTCGAATTTGTTCAGGAGAACGACACGAGGTGATAGTTGCCAAGAGACCTGAGGAACATCTCTGTCGAGTCTGTCCATTCTCCTTCCATGCGCAAGGGCTTGAGCTTGGTTGATGCGGCGAGTTGACCCATTTGTATTGCTTTTCCTTGTCCGCATCGTCCATTTTCTCTGCGTTGGCACTTCGTGTTTGCTTTTCCCTCCAAGTCCCGGTAGCGGTGGAAGAAGTTTTCTGCCACTTCCATTCTTCTTATTATTGTGGTCTGGACGGGCACCAATGCCATCGTGGAAATGAGAAGCAGTGATGGTAGTCCGGCAGCTTGACTATTCAATGGAATATTCTGCCCACTGAAAGACCTTCGACGATGAACTGGAGCGAGGGACCATGGCGCTGGCACATGTGCCCGACGTGGATATCCGTACGGAGCACCGTATATTGAGGTTACCACGTTATTGGAACCGACGGGCGGTGCTGCTGGCGGACCGCGACAGGGCGCCAGGGGGCATACTGCGGTATATGTCGGCGGAGATTCATTCGCTGGCGTGTCATATTGCATGCTTTTCTGCATTACTCGAGTGCCGGCCCTGAATAGGTGAAGGAGGCCCAAGTACACAAGGAGTGGGAGAGGGAGATCGTAGGCTAGCCAGGTTCTTGGACCACAGTTCCCAGAGAACGGTTCGAAAGTCGAAATCCTTGAGGAGTGTTGCAGGGTTGCACCTGCGCGTTATGAACGTGGGAGTGGGTTTGATGCTGTCACTTGTCATGAACCTGGGCAAGAAGAGGAGTTCTTGAGAACAAGGCGGGCCAAAACATCGCGTTGCTTGTGGATATGATGTTCAATGAGGTGCAATGAGAAGCGGCAGAGGCGAGAGGAGGTTACGAGGATGGCGACAGGGGAGGCAGGGGGGAAAGAAGCGTGGAAAATGACAGCAACCCGAGGAAGGGAACGACGATGGAGATCTAATGGAGGGGATGGTGCCTTCCGTGGAGCATATTGGAGCCTCTTGGTACGTATTCGTACGGATAGTGGAAGGAAGGAGGCAAAGAGGGAAAGAGAGGGAAAGACCCGCCGTTCGGTTGTCGGTTCGTGGCTTCCGGTGCAGGGCAGCAGGTCGCCGAGTCACCAGTCACCCACACCCAGGAAAGGAAGGCAGGCACGACGGGAAGTCCCTGGCCGTGCAGGTACGTCTCGACTCCCACTTCCCAATTCCCAAATCCCAGGGCGAGGGCAATGAGGCTCCCCTCCTCTTTCATCTCGTCACCCCTCAAAAGGCTCAAATATCCCAGCAAGACTCCAACAGCGAACATGGCGAATCGACGACCAACCGGGGAACTGGAAATCAACCTGCAATTGGAAGGTCTGGAAGGTCCACGGCCAAATTAAACCGTTGCCAATTGCTTGATTGCCTTCTCCCCTGGTGGATTCGGGTTTGATGGCCGTTGGTTTTCTGCTTTGCTCCTCCGAAGAGAAAGTGAGAGGGAAGACATTGCCAGGTTTTACTCGCCTCTCCTTGGGTTGCTTTCTTTTTCATTTTCCCTTTCGAGCAAGGGTTTCGTGTATCTTCCAACCGTCTTGCATCATACTCCACCAGACAGCTGGCCAGCCGTCAAGAAGCCGCGCTATGTGCAAGAATCTTCCCTTCAAACTCGACGTTTGGACTTCCGGTTCGTTGCTACTCAAGTGTCGAACTCTCTTCCTTGCTGACGAGACACAGATGGCGTTTCTCCAATGTGTCGTGAGCCGTGACTCGGAGTCTAGAGTCTTAATCAGTATCACCTCCCTTCGCAAATGACATCTAATAGTCGACCGGCGTGCGAATCATCTCCGTCCATCCCGTGCAATCCACAACGGGACCGCACATCGCCCGTCTCCCCCATCGCAATTCCCAGACCTGACACTGACAGAAGCCCATCCCTGCTTCACCATCGCATCTAATTACTTATCACGTGTAGAACACACTACGGCCCTCTCGGGATGCAATTAATAGCTCCAGGTACGGGCACTTTTGCTTCACACGCATGAGTGCCACAAACTTCGATGGCTTCGACCGCCCTGTCTTCGTCTTCGACCTTTTCCCTCGTAGGCTCCTACGGATACCTAGCGTGTCCGGTCTACGGGCTAACGGACTAGGGCGCTGCTGCGAGGTGGGAACTATGCGCACCTTGCAGATTGCACAGGGCGACTTTCTCACAACTCTACCCGGGCAACCCAAGCCATCTCAAGCCAACTCAAGCCATCTCAAGCCATCTCAAGCCATCTCAAGCCATCCCACGCCATCTCAAGCCATCTCAAGCCATCCCACGCACCAAGCAACGCCTCGCAGCTCATAGCGTATCCACGCGAGGGCCGAGAGGACTATTTATGATTTGCTAAAATCTTGCCCCAATGTACGCGGGCTGCGCAGCACAACGCGTAGCCAGGTACGCAAACTACTATGGGCAGAGTTACATTTGTACGCAAGAGACTTGCATTGAGGGTGGGTTCAACACCATGGGCAGCACCAACGACGAGCAGGGTTAGAGGCAAGGGTCGACAGGAAAATCCACGCCGGTGCCAGGGGAACACACCACAGCGAGATGGAGCTCGATATCCAGGTCCTCGAAGGAGACGAGAAAATCTCATTGCGCAGGCCACACACGCCTGAAGCTTGCTCCCCCTTTCTCCCTAGTCCAACGTCGATGCGCAAACACCCTGCCCAGGCCCCAATCCAAACTCGAAAAGTGCTCGAACTCTGCTCTGCCAGACTGCGTACGGTATCCGTACGGATCCCTTGAGGGGTCCCGAAATCACCTCCCCTGGATGCAATCCATGACTCCATGAGGTACTTGAACACGGCCCATCCCCCTCCCCCCCCCCAAGCCCAAAGGGTCTCTGCTTTCGGTTTTCGAGAATCTTTTCTGTGATCGATCCCCAGCCTCTTCCGTCGTTTCTTCTTGTGTTTCTCGCATCGTCTCGGCTGCCCACCTAGTACTGCCTTGGTCTACACTCTGTACCATCAGCCTCAACTGACAGCTTCCTCCAAGCAGCCTTTTCTACTTGAGATTTCCCAGCTTCCCATCAGTGGCCACTTCGTCATTAATCCAGATCCCTCCGCTGGTCTCACCTTGTGTACCTTGTCTCGGTCTTCACTGCTCAGCCGCCACCCTCACTACCTGGCAACCACATACAAATCCTACCATTGGTCTTCAACTCGATTGGCGCTGCCCTGTTCCTGTCTCTTCGACCTTCAGCTCATCTCAACTCCAGCCTCGTATAGTCTGCTTTCCCGTTTTCGACAGATCACGAGCATAATCGAATCATTAACTGTACCACCTACTACGACCTTGATCTACAACACCTCGACGACTGTTACCTGGGCACGTCATTGTTTCCCAGTTCGTCCTAATAACCTTGCAAACCCAAAGGTTCACCCGCAAGCAACTTCCACCGTGGGAACATCTAGACGTCTGAAAAGCCCAACATTCCTGCCGCAATTTCTGACACAACCCCTGGACGAAGATCATTTGGGTGCTAAGGTCAACCGTCGACCTGCACGCGATTTGCACGAAAATTCAGACGACTTGAGACTGTTCGCGAGTCGCCTGTTACGCATTTCGGGGTAACCCACTTACACCCAAATCATCACGGGGTTTTGCGAACACGCCTGGCCTCTTCAGCCTTCGTCTGCCGCTCTCGACTTTGCTAAGCCAACTCTGCATCTGCTTCGATACTTTGACATCAGCATAAGTGATAAGTGTCACGAACACTATTGCCTGGTTCAACAACGCAGCGGCTTCCTATTGGCCCTTGGAACTCAATCCACGCTATCGACTTTACGAGTAGACTTTGGCCCGAATCTCTTCCAGCCATTGGTCTCATATCGGACGAAAAGGTGGCGAGCTAAGTTAGCCGTCTTTCATCACTCAGCCAACCTAGTATCGCGAACTCTCTTCACACGCGCAAATACTCTAAATCCATCACGATGGGCGGTTTAATACCTCTCCTCCTTAAGCCCGTCGCCGCCGGCTCCCGTAGCAGCGTCGTTTTTCCTATCAACAGAGCAGCATCGCCCAGCGCCCTCAGCAGCACGCCGCAACCTGCGCCAACATCACCAACCATGGCTACCAGTTCAGTCGGACCTCGCAAGGCGCGAGTGCACAAACGGTCCGCATCGCAGCCGGCACCGCTCCCCGTCCTGCCCTATACCTCTGCTGAATGGAGCAAGGCGGTTTCTGAGGTCAAGCGTCAGTATCTCAACCGCAAGTACCGACCGTGCTCCTTGCGCTGTTGCGAGATCCTAGACAATATTAAGGAATCTGTAAGTTGCATTCATCTGAGGTGGCTCAAGCCTGTGCTAATCGAGACAACAGGCAAACGTGGAGCCGGCATATCTCATCTATCTTCACTTTTACGCCGCCAGCTCCTTTGACATGCTCTCCCGGCCTTTGCAATGCGCCTCGCCTTATCGGACACGGCTTCTCCAACAAGCTCGTGAGCACTACACGCGAGCCTCTGAACTGAGCAAGGCGGCGGATGAGACCATGGCTCGCTCACCAAGGCCATCTTCAGCGGCAACCTCGAGCATGCATTCGCCTTCGAGCTCTACTTCATCCTCGCGGACATGGACGAACTCGACCGCCTTCTCATCCCCCACGCCGTCTGTATGTTCCGTCGAAGACGCCATGAACAAGCTCGCCGCGACCCAGCCCCCACCAAAGAAACGCGTCACCTTCTGCGACGTCCCCGAAGAACCTTTCATTCGTCCCGACTCCCCAACTCTCGGCTTCGATGATTTTGTCTGTGCCCCACCGCAGCCCGAGCCGCCGCGCTACCTCCCGGTCCTCCACGAAGAGCCCGAGCCCGCCGACGAGCCCGAGGAGCAGGTTGTAAAGCCAGCAACGCCCGAACCCCTGAACGAGGACTGCGACGCCTTCGACTTCCTCCAAGAGCGCTCCATACACCGCTACTGCGGCTTGCTCTCCAGCTTGCGCTCGCAGATCGCCGTTCACATTTCCAACGTCGAGGAGCAGCTCGCGGCACCCCGTCAAAGCGATACGGGACGCCACTCGCTCCCCGCCAGGGCAGCGACGCCGGAGCTCAGCGATGACCTGCGTAACCTCGATATCAAGGCCCGTATCGAGCGTCTGCGCCAGAACAACTGGCAACGACGTCGCTTCGATATCGGCCGCTATGAGGCGCTTCGCGAGAGCGTCCTCGCCGAGTTGGAATGAACCGTCGCTACCAGATGATCGATCCGTCGTTTTCTACATTTTTCACATTTTTATCTCGTTTCCAGTCTCAAATGATACCACCGGCCTCCGGTCTCTCTTTCTTATACTGTACCATGATTTGAAGCAATCTTGTCCATTTATTCCGCGGCGAAATAAAAAGCATCTAGGGGGCAGATCCCATCCCCCGTTCGGCAGCATCTCAGGACAGGACGGCGCACTCACTGGGTGGTCTCTCTCTTTTTTCCAATTTTCTCTCTCGATATACCTTGTACAAGCACAACAACGACTCGTTACGAAACCAAAACCATACAATTAGTATTAGTAGTAGTAGTTTTAGAGCAAGGGGGGTACAGGGGCAACGGGTCTACTGTAGCCTTCCCCCCCGTCCACCCCGATCCAAGTAGCAGCAATGCCAAAATAGCAAAGTTACATCTTGATAACCATTGTCGTACCGCATCCAAATTATGCCATGTGTCATCCCTGATCAACTATGCTGTCTCCAACGTCTAAAGCCTAGAGATCGGAGGGTAAGGTAGACAGACACAGGCAGGGATAAGAGCAGACGAACCTAATATCGCAGTAATACTTACTACCTACCTACTTACTTACCAGCTAACTGTGGCTAGATGACTGGGTCTGGTCATGGTCAAAGTCGATGCAATAGATTGCTACAACTAGGGATCCGAGTGAAGACATTTGATACAGAAGGGCTATGATCTATGTATAGAATAGGAAAGGCTGTCGTCGATCGAGTAGGCTATGGGCGGAAATTGGTTGTTTGACTTGACATCATTCCATCACCCAGCCCAATTTGACCTGACCAACCGACCTAGGAAGGCGCCTGCTGTGCTGGTGACAGGAACGGCGTTGGAGGGACCTATATGGGCTTCCTCCTGTGTATTCACGCCGTAGAATACTCTGATGCTTCTAGCAGAGTCCTGAGTCTAGGCAGGGCCTGGCGGCTGTAACACCATTAGTTGTGGACTTCCAAGCCCGAGGTAAACCAGGCTACTTCATCAAGTAGTCAGATGCTGTGTGACGTGCTAGCAAGATTCACCAAGGTCAAGTAATGATGTGCACGAAGAGATTCGATTCTGGAAGAAATGATGGGCGTTGCTCAAAGTCATATCTGTCCCTGGCTTTTCTGTCCCCCCCGCCCGCTCCGGCAAAGCAACAAACATATAGCGCTCATCTAGCCATGTATCTTCGGCCTGAAACGAAATGAGTGCGCAACGAAAGGCAGTAACAACTTAAAAAACTTCAAAGCCGCTGCTGAGCCGTGATCAGTGGCCCGCTGTATCATCCAACCCGTGTGGTATCATCTTCCCGAGTCCCGGCTGACCCGCCCAGGTCACCAAACAGAGACGTTTGTCGCTTCTCAACCCTGAAAGCTGCGTCTTCTGTGCTCCTTCTCCGCATCCTCCTTCACCTTGAGCGTGTCCTGCTGCTGCTTCATCTCGCGGACCTTGGCAAGGACGACCTCACGGAAGATGGCGCCCTTGATCGTCTTGGAAAGGCTGCGCTTCTCGCCAGCGGCAACCTCGTGTGCGCCAACGTGCTTGGACTGGTCTGCGGCGCTGATAGCGTCGGCTGGGAAGTCCGAATCCTCTGTGTCTTCCTCTTGCGACTTGAGCATCTCGATTCTGTTGGCAAGCTTGACCATCTCGATGCCACGGCGAAGACGAGCCTTGGCCATGTAGGCCTTGATCTCGGGCAGCAAGTTGTGGTCGGTGGCATTCTCTCCGCTGAGCCACGGGTGGTGGAGGGCCTCCTGTTGGTGTTGTCAGTACTCATTTCTCGACTGTGGTGGACGTCTGGTACATACCTCACTCGACCAGCGCTTGACGGGCTCTGGTTGCAGAAGATGCAAAATGAAATCCTTTGCATCATCACTGACATCCTTCCAGTAACGCTCGTGGAAGACGACCTGGGCATTACTGCACTCGTCGATAAGATCCTGGAGGTTCTCTGAGCGGAAAGGAGAGTAACCGCAAAGCAGAGTGTATGTGATGACACCCATGGACCACATGTCTACCGGCTTGCCATGGCCCTTCTTCAGCATGACCTCAGGGGCTGCGTATCCAAAAGAACCGGCCATTGTTGTGAGGACTTCGTCTTTGCGGTCGAGCATCTTAGCAATACCGAAGTCGGCCAAGACGAGATCGGACTCGGGTTCCCTGGTCAGGTACAGAAGGTTCTCGGGCTTCAAATCTGGTCTACTTGTTAGAGAGGCAAGAGCGCTCATGTTATAACTGTAAACTTGCCTCTGTGTACGACGTTGTTCTGGTGCAGGTAGTTGACGGCTTCGAGGACCTGCTTGATGGTTTGCGAAGCATCCTTCTCTGTGAACTTGCCCTGCTCGCAAATACGATCGAACAGCTCTCCGCCCGTAGCTAGTTCAGTGACGATGTAGTACTTGTCCTGCAAGAAAGTTGTCAGCTTTGACAGTCCAGGCATGGCTCCGTAGCAGGATGTTACTCACACGCGACTCAAACCAGTCAACGAACTTGACAATGTGGGAGTGCTTGAGACGCTGGAGCATGTCCAGCTCATCGTAGACCATTCTCTCGTTGCCCTTCACATTCTTCTTGAGAATAATCTTGACGGCGCACTTGCCGGTAGGACCGTCAGCCTCACGGACGATACCGTAGGTTCCAGCTCCGAGGGTGCGGCCGAAGCGGTATTTAGCCCTGTAAAGAGGACGTCAGGATATAATATTCAGATATTGGCCTGGGATTGTTCGTACTTCTTATCGTAGCTCTCGGGTTGGCCCTGAAGCCTGCTGAGCATGTTGGAGACTATATGCGAGTGTGCGGTCAGCATTGATTGTGGATTGGGAGCAGTAAGACGAGAGAAGTGTTGCGCGAGGCAGTCATGTTCGCAACCGCGGCAGAACATAACAACGGTCTCGCAAGACCACAGAAGAACAGTATGATCCAACAACTTACAACTCATTTTTTCGGGAGGGGTTATCGGTCGCAGCGAGTGTTATGTGTGGAATGATCGGACAGACACAGCCTTGGGTGATGATGGGATCGAGACGAAGCGGGCGTCAGCGGTGGGAATGCAGACGACGTTTATGAGGGAGGGCTTGAGGCTGGCGTTAGGTCGGGAGTAGAAAAATCGAGCAGAAGAAGGCTCGACCCTGGACAGGACAGAGAAGCAGCGTTGCTGATGGAGACTTCCCAGGTAGACTGGACGGGATTCGGGAGGGGGGGTCGAGTCGGGGTGCCGGTAGCTCTTGGTGCTTAGGTTGAGGGGGGGAAGGTGGGGTAAAGCGGGAAGTAAGAGCGCGAGAGGGTACTTTTCAGGTGAGCTTCACAAGCAAGAGGCAGTTTTGGGATCAAGCACCAGGTAGCGGCTCTTCAGGTAGATAAAGACATTTGGGGCCTTGGGCTGCGTCTATCTGTAGAGAGTAGGTACTAAGTCAAGGCTATGACACCTCCTGGAGGCAACCTAACCTTCAGGCTGTACAGCTCCCGCGTGTGCACAGAAAAACGAAAAAGGCGGTTCTAGCATCACAGGGAACAAGATCCAGGGGTCATGGCAGGCTGGTAAGAATTGAAAAGGATGCTCAGCGGCAGAGAAATGAGGGGCAGGCCGCAGAAGAAGAGGGAGAGCACGGACATGGCCGTGAATGAGCGACGGCATCCACGAGCACTAACGATGACGGACAAGGGTCCTGGGAGGTCCTGGAGTGGATCGCCGTATCCTGAACGATCAAACGACTGAAGCAGTGAGGGCCACACTGAGGATGAAATGTGAGGATGAGGGAACCGGAAAAGTGTGGCTGAGGAGGAGGCCGCTCTGCAACCTTGCACCTGCTGTGCTGAGTCCTCCCTCCATCGGCACCCTCCACGCTGGCTGTGACAGGCATTGACTATCACTTCCATGCTCCAACGCATTGGGTTTACTGGGTCGTAAGGCTGGACCTCCGATTCGATCTGCTGGCAACGGCATCTTTAGAGAAAGATGAACCCATATCTTCGACCTTAAGTGGACGAGGCATACCGCACCTGGTATCCGATTGGCCAACAACCGTAGTGCCGATGGCTACCTCCTATAAACATCATTCTCAATTCATAGGTGAACCGTTGCTCAGTATGTGTTGCCCAGTAATGTCTAGTCTATGGTCTAGATGTAGATATCGAATTCCACTCGCGTGGTCAGCAAAGCTTTGTTAGTCAAGTGACAATGACAGGCTGAGTGTTTGAGTCTGGCGTGGTCAAACAACGGAATTTCACGACAGAGAATGATTCAGACTGAAGGAAGTTTGTAAAGAAGTTTGCCGACTGGAAATAGTCCAGTGCATTATACCTATGTATTTGACCTTCCAGAAGTAAAGTGATATTTGGCTGACTTAGCCGCCATACCCTCAGAAATTGCGCGTGACACATGATCGCGGGCCGCGTCTGAAAGTACCGCGATAAACATCCGTCATTGCAGAGCCTTGTTGTCTTTCTTCTTCGTACAGATAGATACTCTTAAGAAATAGAAAGATTGATAATGACAGAGATCTGACCAGGTACCTTACGCGAGGCCATGCCAGGCTGTTGATGATAAGACCACACGATGAATGTAAGGTATACCTTTACTAAGGTAGGCTGTCCCTGATGTTCTTCTTCAAAGATGCAAAGCTTTTTGGGTTGTCACTGGCATCAAGTAAAGTGGACCCACCGGGCCTGCGACTGGGTTACAGCACGCGCATTCGCATCGGTCCAAGATGCATTGAGCCGCCGCCAATCCTCCCCCGCGGCGTCATTTGCACCTTGAAAGTCTTAGGTAAGGCGTTCCAGCTTTCCAGGTTGCTCATTTTCCCTCCCGTCTCTCTCTCTCTCTCTCTCTCTCTCTCCAACAATCCCGTCCACATGGCCTGAAGGTACTTTCTATCCGTACTCCGTACAGTCAACAATAAAGCGCCTCAGTGCTACGTGCTACGTAAGGAGCCAAGTGCCACCGTCCACGCCTGTAACTCGTCGACCATCTCCAACACGCCCGCGTGTCTCGACATTGTTAGACCAACCAAGCTACTGACGTTGCTGCACATTTGCCTATTTCATTCTCATTGTTGTGCACATCTTGTCTTCCCGTCCTTGTTGATTTGCATCCGGCTTTCTTTCTATACCCCCAGGTTCAGAACTTCAGACCCTGGAAGTTGGCTTCCGGATCGGCTGCTTCCCACATTCCTAGACAACTTTTGGCTGCTGTTCTCGGCAGGAACCACCAATTCGTGGGGTCCTCCTCTCTGGGCAGCCCCTCCAAGCGACCAACAAGCCCCTTAGCAAGCCGCAAGCCGCAACCTGCCTGCCTTGCCTGGGCTGCTTCTCGAGCCGCCGACTGACATCTCCTCCTGCGCTCAACCTTTCCCTTTTCCTTCCGTCGAGCCTTCTTCGCCTGGGCTTCATCCTTCTCCAGGCCACTTGATTGCGCTTCAAAATGGCTTCCAGCTTTGCTTCCAAGCGGCTGGCCAAAGAGTTGTCCAAGGTTCGTTACTTCGCATCCAGCTCGCTACCTCACTCTGTCCCGTGATCGAACCATTTGCACCTTGTCGCATTGTGCGCACTCGCGCTCGCGCTTGCCTTATGAATGTTTCTAACTCTCACAGCTCAACTCTGGCCTGCCCCCCGGTATCGAGCTCATTTCGGCCGACAACTTCGAAGAATGGATCATGGACATCAAAGTCTTGGACGACAACCCGCTATACAAAGACCAGGTTTACAGGCTGAAATTCAAGTTCTCGCAACAATATCCCATAGGTATGCCTCTCTACACATGCCAGCTACTCAGTACCTCCCCAAGTAACATGATCTGGTCTATAGAACCCCCAGAGGTCACCTTCGTCAAGACCACCGAGCGACCGATTCCCATGCACCCTCATATCTACTCCAATGGCATCATCTGTCTCGATCTTCTCGGCAGTCAAGGCTGGAGTCCTGTACAGAACGTCGAGAGCGTCTGCATGAGCATACAGAGCATGTTAACAGGCAACGAAAAAAACGAGCGACCGGCGGGAGATGACGAGTTCGTTCGGAGCAATCGCTTGCGCCCTAGAGATATCGACTTCTACTATCACGATAACACCGTTTGAACAACACAAGACATTTGCGCGGCAGGTTTGGGTATGGCGTTGTATCGGATTTCGGCATACGGATAGGGAATCCCAGGACAAGCAGAGTATTCAGGGGTTGATGCTCTGCCGAGGGGAAGAAGATGAGGTGACCAACACGGTTCTTGGCCCTCTTCAGCTTTCGTGGAGCGAGATCTCGAAAAGGATCGGCCGGGAAAATTGTGTCACGAGCCGGATCGCAGCCCCTCCAGAGGACGATATGGACACCCATGTTGATGGTCGTTAGGATGAGCAGATTATACTTTTTTGGCCAAGTAAGGTATACATCCTAGGCGACGCCTACTGCGCATCATATTAGCAGGTAGACCGTATTTCAAAGCATTCATGCTGCAAGTGTGCAGAAAAAAAGCCGTCGCGGCCAGCAATTGCGAAGTAGTGTCTCGAGTAACTGGAAACGCTTCCAGGTTGAGACATCCATTGACGGGATGCATGTAGCGCTGAGAGCGGGCCGGATATAGCGACTGGCCCCCACTGATCCGGCATGGAATTCCCCGAGAGAGCACCTGCACTGTCGTACCTAAATCACCCTGGCGGCCTGGCCCCGCTGACGCAAATGCTCTCTGCGAGATGTCCCGTGCTGTAGCCAATCTAATCTCTCAACCCCATAGCTCCAGACGTCAGGCGCTTTGCTACCGCAGCTTTCCGTCACCTTTCCATCTACCTTACCCCGACCACGTCACCCCGTCCAGCAGCGGTCAGTCTGCGCTCCACGAACAACTCGATTCCAACTATATGGAGAATTGAAGATGGCTCCTCGAGCTGGCTTCAATACGGACCAGATAAAGGACAAAGCGCGCAAGGATCTCCTTTACCTGCTCGAGGCTGTAAGTAAGGCATTTCGAGCTTGCTATTTGTCCTCCGTGAGTTAACCTCGGCGTATTCAGGTTCGCGGAAAGAAGAACCTCATTCTTGAGCGCAGCTTAGCAGGCCCGATCAGTACCATCGTCAAGGTCGCTACCCTACAGGAATACGGCGTAGACAAGTTCTTCTTCCTCGAGAACAAGAACGCCGACACCAGCCAGCGAAATGCCATCTTCATAGCACGCGGCGAGTGCGCTCGCCATGCGTCAGCCATAGCAGGTCAGCACCTTTCACTTTCCGAATCCCATAAGCTTTCTCAGTTTCCATCAGAATTTCACGAGGCCTCTTGAGCTTGCTCGCGCACCCGTCATTTGTGGTCTGCCGGGATAGAGCACGATGGAGAGGCTTGTTGCGGCCGATCTCCAAGCTGCTGGGTGAGCTGCACTTCATACTAACAACCTCTCAGAGCAAATCCGTCGTTTACAACGAGAGAGCCAAACAGGTCATGAGTACCACATCTTCTGGGTTCCTCGACGGACACTCGTCTCGGACAAGTTGCTCGAGGAGGCTGGCGTCTTGGGCGATGTGAACATCTCCGAACTGCCTTTATACTTCTTTCCGCTCGAGAAGGATCTCCTTTCGCTCGAGCTGGATGAATCTTTCCGCGACCTGTATCTCTCGAAAGACGTCACACCGTCATTCCTGCTCGCCAAGGCCCTGATGGAGATCCAACAGAACCACGGCTTGTTTCCCCGAATCATCGGCAAAGGCGATAACGCAAAACGAGTTGCCGAGCTCCTGGCACGAATGCGACAAGAGATACTTGCGGGCGAGGATGCGAACGAAACGAATCGAGGCGGCTTGACACCAAGCACACTTACCGAAAGTGTCATAATAATCGACCGCGAAGTGGACTTTGTCACCCCTCTGTTAACTCAACTGACCTACGAGGGACTCATCGACGAAGTATTCGGCATTCAGAACAACCAAGCCGAAGTTGATACGACAGTTGTTGGGGCCCCTTCTCAATCCTCAGCGACAAGCGCGCAAGCTAGGAAACGGAAAATCCAACTGGATTCCTCTGACAAATTATATGAGCAACTTCGCGATACAAATTTCGCCATCGTCGGTAGCTTGCTGAACAAAGTCGCCCGCCGACTCCAGAATCTACAGAAAGACTATGAAGGAAGGAACAGCCACAAATCCATCGCCGAGCTCAAGGATTTTGTCAGTAAGCTGCCCGGATATCAAGCGGAGCAGCAAAGTCTGCGCATACACACGGGCTTGGCCGAGGAGGTCATGAAGTATACACGTACGGACCAGTTCAAGGGTCTCTTGGAAGCTCAGCAGAATCTTGCTGCTGGAGCGGACCCTTCTTCACAATTCGAAGCCATCGAGGAACTCATCGCTCGCGATACGCCGTTACCGGAAGTACTGAGGCTGCTTTGCATTTACTCATGCATTTCAGGCGGCATCAAACCGAAGGAATTCGACCAGTTCCGACGGCTTATCCTCGAGGGCTACGGCTATCAACACATCCTCACTCTGAACAACCTCGAGAAGCTCCAATTGTTCTTGTCACGCTCTTCTCCGTTGGCGGAAATGATCCCGATGACTGGCTCTGGTGGCAGCACAACAGGGACAAAGACGAATTATACGTATCTCCGCAAACTTCTGCGTCTCATCGTCGACGAAGTTCAAGAAGACGATCCAAACGACATCGCATATGTATACAGCGGGTATGCGCCCCTGTCGATTCGTCTCGTTCAATGTGTGCTCCAAAAGCAGTATCTGCTCAAGGTCACCAGAGGAAATGGTGTGAGTGGTGCGACCGGAGGGTCCGCAGCACAGGGCTGGCACGGGTTCGACGAAGCTGTAAAGCACGTCCGCGGGCAGACATTCTACGAGCTGCAAAAGGGCGAAGAGAAGGCTGTCAAAGCTCGCGCATTACTGTCGGGAGGTACAGAGAAGCAAACGGTATTCGTGGTGTTCGTCGGAGGCATAACATTCACCGAGATCGCTGCTTTGCGGTTCATCGCAAAGCAGGAAGAAGGTATTCGCCCTCGTTTGTCCCATCTCGTAAAGCATTGCCAAGCTAACCGACGTCAAACGTAGCCCGAAGAAACATCGTCATCTGCACGACATCGATCATTAGCGGAGACCGAATGATGGATGCGGCAATTGAGAAGGATTCGTTTGCAAGAGATAATGTTAAGCCAGTGAGCCCAACTGCATGAGGGTCTGGGGTAGAAGACTTGGTAGGGCCGAGAGACGGGAACGCCATACTCGGCATTTGAAAGATACGACCAACATACAGATAATGAGCTTCTCGTGAAGAAGTGTTTTCAAACTAGAAGTAGGCATCATTGCCCGTCGTGTGAATACTTGTTGCTGAACGGCAGTCTGGCCTCTCGAGTCAGTGCCTTCCCGCAGTGGTGTCGCCGGTTTTGGCTCGGGCCTGCAGTCAGCCCGTACAGCACTGTCCAGCGTCGGGTGGCTTTCCAGTGACGGGAGCGCAGACCCATCACGTGACCCACCTTTTTTTTGTCTCGAACGCTGGAGCTCCTCATGTCCAATGCCGAACCTAGCGATTTCAACGGGTCATGTGTCTGACGACTTCCCTTAATGTCCTGATTACTTTTGTTTCCTCGACATCATTGTCTCAAACAATAGACTGAGTTGTTTGCGACTCAACGGGTGCTTTCTTAGTATACCACGACTCGACCTGCATCGGGACGGTTCAATCAACCACCGAAGACGGGACAGTGCCCTGCAGCCGGGGCAAGTGGCGTCTCCGCAGTCAAAAGGTAGGTACATCCGCATCTGCCTCGTCTTATATCGACTGCTACGAGTCTGAGAACTCAAATCAGCTGACAAGTCTTACACAGCGAGACTATCCAGGTTCACCTGAGATATCGTAACATGTTATCGACTCGGGACTAATCCCGCCATATAACACCCTGGTCGGGATTCAGACTGAGCAGATTTCATCACCGATCATCCGCCTCCACCAACATACATCCTTCATTCATCCCCGAGTCCAATTCGGTTCAACGGCTGAAATATGAGAAGCAGTCCGAGGTCCCGGGTTAAGCAGGAACCAGGGTTTGGGAAGGGATCATTGATGGATTTTCCGGATCGGAACTCACGTATATCAGACTTCACGCCTTCCAGGGCCAGTGCGATGCTAAGTCGGATATCGACCTCACATCTATCAGATTCGACGACACCAACACCGTCAAGTCGAATCTCATCAGAAGCAGTTTCAGAAATTGCCCCGGAAATCGTTGTGTGGACAGAAGACATGGACATGGACCTGGATGACTCAAGCCAGGATGAGGCGGAACATCCTTCCGGCCCAATATCGGAAGCTGAGTAGGTAATACCCTACGGCGCGTTCTCAAAATGATATCTTGGCTTTGTCGGATAAGTTTTGGGAGACTCGCGATCGAGTTTAGCTGACCATCAATCAGTTCACCAATAGCCGAAGACGCGGCTGCTCCGTTAGAGACCCTCCGCATCCAGTCACACGATACCCCTCACGAATCTTTCGAGTCTCCGATGACCAACTTATCTGATCACGATCAGTCTGAGCTTTCATCGGTGCCATCGTCGGTGTCTAGTAAGGCAACGACCCCTGTAGACCTAGACGGGCATACGGAATTGTCTATACCATCGGCAGAGACCCCTCCAATACGCGAGGCATTGCGGCAGACCTTCAATGTGAAGCCGAAATCATCCATACCCTCGAATCTCTCAAGCTTTGAATATGCAAGGCAATGCATAGAAGCAGCCGAGTCATCGAGACTAAACCCGTATGCCCTGCACCAAGAAGAATATCAGATGCTGCGACAGCACATCAGCCATGTTCAAGTCACCACGTATCTAAATATCAGAAACGGCATCCTCCGGCTCTGGTATAATAATCCACGTGTTGCAGTGACGAGAAATGAAGCGGTCGGCTGCGCTGGTGCCAGATGGGTTGATGTCGCAAGCATATGTTACGATTGGCTGCTGCGACGTGGCTACATCAACTTTGGCTGTGTAGAGTTCCCAGCGACGAGCGATCGATCCGAAGAGGACGTAGAAGCAGAAGTCCCACTCAACAAGAAGAGGATTGTGATTATCGGTGCTGGTATGTCCGGCTTGGGCTGCGCCAGACATTTGGACGGCTTAATACGGCAGTACGAGGATCGTTTCCGGGCGCTCGGAGAACCAGTGCCTGAGATTGTGGTACTAGAGGGGCGCGGGCGAGTGGGAGGAAGGGTCTACTCAAGGGAGTTCAAAACAAAACCGACATTACCATTGCCCGACTTTGACGGGGCACGATTCACCGCCGAAATGGGCGGGATGATCATCACTGGCTTCGAACGCGGCAACCCGATGAACGTTCTCGTGCGTGCGCAATTGTGCCTCCCATACCGTGCCCTGAGATCGGAAACGACAATTTACGATTCTAATGGCAAGCCGGTGGACTTTGTAAGGGACCAGCTCGTAGAGAGGCTCTACAATGACTGCTTGGATCGTGTCAGCGAATACAAGTTCAAGTCACAGCCCGCTAAGCTCATCGAAGGCAACCGAGACTTGATCGACGATGCGCGAGATGCCGTGAGTGACGGCCACCGGACAATTCACCAGGCCGAGGAAGCGGTGGCGGCTCTCCCACATGCACCGTCCGTTTCGCAGCAAAATGTTCCGGAACGAGTAAACTTGGTGCCGGTCTCGTCGGACAAGCTTACTGGCCGCGTCCACACTCAACCTGGCACTCCAGGTGTACTCAAGGCCACTGAGAAAGCCCAGACAATGGGGTGGACGTTGAAGACCGGCTTGGCAAACGACGCTAATATTGATCTGAACGAAGCCGTGGCTTTACCAACGGCGACGCTGGGTTCGGTGATGGACGAGGCCGTCCTCCAATATCGCAGTATTGTGGATCTGACTGCCCAAGATCACCGTCTCATCAACTGGCACGTCGCGAACCTGGAATACAGCAACGCTACAAATCTCCATAATCTCAGTCTTGGTGGCTGGGACATTGATGCTGGCAATGAGTGGGAAGGCAAGCACACCATGATTGTTGGTGGCTACCAGAGCGTTCCCAGAGGCCTCGTGCACTGCCCTACGCCTCTCGACGTCCGCTCGAAATCTGCTGTCAAGAAGATCACGTATCAGCCACAGAACAACGGGCGTGCCTCGGTTGAGTGCGAGAACGGGACATCTATTGATGCAGACTACGTCGTATCGACGATACCTCTAGGAGTTCTGAAGCACGGTAATGTGGCGTTCGACCCGCCATTGCCCGAGTGGAAGACGGAAGCAGTCACTCGTATAGGATACGGAGTACTCAACAAGCTCGTGCTCGTTTACGAGCAACCATTCTGGGATACGCAAAGGCACATCTTCGGCGTTCTGCGAGACGCTCCGAACCGCCACAGCCTGAACCAAAGCGACTACGGCTCTTCACGAGGACGCTTGTTCCAGTGGTTCAACGTCACGCAGACCACAGGTATTCCGTGCCTGGTGGCCCTCATGGCCGGCGACGCCGGGTTCGATACGGAGCACAGCAGCAACGAGGACCTCATCGCCGAGGCGACAGAGGTCCTGCGCAGCGTCTTCGGCCCCAGCGTGCCTTTTCCCGCCGAATCGGTCATCACTCGCTGGGCCTCGGACAGGTTCGCCAGAGGAAGCTACTCCTCAGCCGGACCGGAGATGCACCCGGACGACTACGACGCCATGGCGCGCCCCATCGGCAACCTCTTCTTCGCCGGCGAGCACACGATCGGCACCCACCCGGCCACCGTCCACGGAGCCTACCTCTCGGGACTCCGCGCCGCGTCAGAGGTTCTCGAGTCGATGCTCGGTCCGATCGAGGTCCCGACACCCCTCGTCCGACGGAAAGGAAACAACAACGTGTCCAACAAGCGGAAAGAGATGGAAGGCCCCAGGGACCCGGAACAAGTCCGCCTGGAAGCCTATGAGCTCTCCGCCTGGGAACACACCAAATCCAAAATCGGCGAGCGGCCCCTTCGCCCGGCCAAGGTGGCCGCCAACGCCTACCTCCTCTACAGCCGTGCCTTTTTCGAGGTCGCGCGCACACGGTGCGAGGAGGAGCGCGCGGCGCACGCGGCCAGCGGCAACGGTAAGAAGAAGACGGCGCCGAACGAGGTGCGCGTCATGACGTCCAAGATGTGGCGGGCCGCCTCCGTGGAGGAGAGGAAGCCTTTCGAGGACGAGGCCGCCGCGCAGAAGACGGCGTACGCCGAGGCCGTGAAGCAGTACGAGGAGACGTCGGCGCGGTGGGATAAGGAGTACGTTGAGACCATGGGCGCGTATCAGCGGGAGCATCCGTACGTGCCTCTCCAGCAGAACGGACAGCACGGGGGAGGGAGCAGCAGCGGTAATAGTTATAGTGCTGCTACGGCGCGGCAGCGGGAGATTAGTGCGCAAAAGTACCGCAGGACCAAGCATGTCAGCTACGCTGAAAGTGACGGCAGCGAGATGGAGTTTTGACGGGTGTTCTTTTGCTTGACGAGGCGCGGTGAGATGAAGGGGGTGTTTGATTTCCCACCCTGGGGTTTCTATGAATGGGGGTTGGGCCGTTTCTTGTTCTACTATAAACAGTTTCATGATGGGCAAGGAAGGGTGCATTCGAGAGGGGACTGTGGTGGCGGATGTCTGTTATCTTTCTCCTTCATGTTTAATGCGGCGTCGAGGAGTTCTGCATACCCCCATACATGTTCATATTTGCTCTCATCGAAACTTGAAGAGGTTGTCGTAGAACCGACCTCTTTGAGTTCCGCACGGTACTTACTGTAGCTTCCGTACATAAAGCACTCGAGAAGAGTGTACACAGCAATGGCAAACGTTTTATCAACGGCACAGATTCTCAGATCTCGGGTTATAAATAGATGAAAATAACCGATCCATGTTCTAGATCAGGATGTATTCGCGAGGATTTGGTACACTGAGGGCTAAACTAGCCGCCCTTGGTAGCTTGATACAAAGGGAAGAGAGGTAATAATCATCTCTATCTGATGCGATGCGCGCGTGCTTTTTCCAAAACCCGCTTTACATGTCCTCGGAGGCAGTGGCACCAGTGATAATCTCAACCAGCTCTCCGGTAATGACGGCTTGACGGGTACGGTTGAACAGAATCTGGTACTTGTTGATCATCTCACCAGCGTTCTTGGAGGCGTTCTATCATGGTGTGTCAGTCTGAAGCTACTTTTGCGGGGGGGAAACAAGGATGTCAAGGAGGGTTACGTACGTCCATGGCGTTTCTACGGGCAGAGATCTCGCAGGCGTGACCCTCGGCCAGAGCCCAGTAGATGGAGTTGGCAAGGGCGTACTCGCGGAGGTTGGGGATGAGCTCCTCATCGACCTCGAAGGCGGAGAAGTTGGCTTGAATCCAATGTTAGTTCAACTCACACGATATCTCGTTCCGTTTCGTGTCGAGGGTAGCTTACGGGACTGGGTGATGGCCTCCTCGGAAAATGCCTCAATAGTGACAGGCTCGTAGCTGGTGGCGTTGATGAACTTGTTGTGTAGGATCTTGATGGAGGAGTAGTCGCCAGCGAGCTGAACGATCTGGTCGGCGATGGCAGAGGCATCAGCAAAGGTGGGGACGTCCTTGCCGACGCCGGCGAAGGAGAGACGGATGTCCTTGGAGTTGGTGCGCTGAAGCTGGGCCTTGCACTTCTCGCCGAGGATGACGAGGTCGGCGGTGGCGTTCTTCTCAGCGAACTCGCGGCGGATGGTACGGGAGAGACCGGAGTGAATACCACCGCAGAGGCCCTTGTCGGAGGAGCAGATGATGATGAGCTCTCTCTTGGCCTCGACCTCGAGGGGCTTGGTCTCGGCGGAGTTGAAGACCTCGTTGGAGGTGGCACCGTAGACGCGGGAGTCGGACATGGCCTTCTGGGCGCGGTTGAGCTTGGTCGAGGCGACAATCTTCATCGTCTTGGTGATCTTCTCGATGTTGCGAATGGACTTGAGGCGGCCTTCGATTTCACGGAGGGTCGCGAAGTTGGCAGCGTTGGTGGGCGCGCTGGCCGTAACTCTGGAAACGCCGCACAATCAGCATGACAGCTCTTATCTTTTTACTTCACTCGCTCTCTCTCTCTCTCTCTCTCGTTTGTTCAATTGATATCGTTCCCAGTATGTTCCTCATGTCCCGTCCTCTTGCATCGTTGATGGCCGACCGTCGGCACTCGTCTGACGTGTTGTCCCTTTCCTCCGATTTTCCGAGCTCAGGAAGGTGTGGATTCCGACTTACCGCGAGGGAGCCGCAGCTGCAGCTCGCAGAGCTGGTCTCGCCGCCCGGGAAAGCATTGTGAAGTTTGAGATATTAAGAAGATCGAGCCTCTGCCGTTTGTGGGGATCAATTGACCACGACCGATTTCGAGATCAATTGAGGCTGTCGGACGGTGCTTCGGGATAGCGAGATTGGTAGGTTCGAGGTTATTTTCCTCCCCGGCTAGCAGTCTTCGCACCCGACTCCATCCATCTCGTTTTCCCGGCTAACTGAGTTTGACCGGCAGCCGGGTGGCTCAGGATAGTCACGTGCACGGGATGCTGTGGCGCAGGCATTGGATTGGTTCGGGCCTTCCTCTGTCAGTCTGTCCTGGCAGCACCTGCCACCCGCTTACCTGTGCCTACCTACTCCGTACCTTACCCGGGCTTACCTAGACAGTTAGACTCCTAGGGGCAGCCCCATTAAGTTTCGCTCGTAGCTAGAAGGTCTTCGACGCCTTTCCCACCCCCGGCCTTCTTTTTTCGTTCCCTCGATCCCTCGAAAAAAAACCTCGTCTTCACTTTCGATTCGCAAAGACGTGGGTGTCCTTCCCTACGTCTTCCAACACATCAAGTGGCGGCCTTTTCAACCATCCGGCTTTTGCCTCTATATCTACGCGATTCTTCCGCGCGGATCGGCTTCTACAACAACTTTTTCTGCTCCACCAAGCCCCGGTTTTGGACTTTGCGATTCAGTTCTTACTTAACCGTCCGTAAACGTCGCGAACCGAGACCTTTTCCCACCATGAGTTCCTCAGACGACGACGCACCTCTTGCGAGGTCGAACGGACATAGTAAGTACGCTAAGAAACATAATAAACTTTTGCGCTTTCGGACGCTTTACCCTTCGCGCCTGCCACTTTACGCCGGACGTGTCACTTTTTTCCCTCCTCTCGCCCCAGCGAACCCACCTGACTCGTCGCGTACTTCCTGCATCCCGATTTTACATACGAAACCAAAGGAAAACTTAACAGCTTTCTAACCTGATCAACGACAGTCTCTGCATCGAGGATATCGAAAGCCGACGACATCGCCATGGATAGAACCGCCTCCAAGGCACGAGCGGCCCCGCCGGGTCTCTCCATCCGCAACGGACCTATTGAGGACGACGATGCGATGGATGTCGATGGCCCATCGACGAACGGAAAGCGCAAGTCTCGTTCGTCCTTGCCCAAGGTCAATTACAAGGATGAAACCGAAGATAGTGACGACGACGCTCCTTTGGTAGGTTACACATGGCAGGCAGACGGTGGCGGAGTACGAGGCTGACGGCGACTCTAGGCCAAGCGACAAAAAACCAAAGTCAAGGCACTAGAAACAGATTCAGATGACGAACCCCTCACTGCGAAGAGGGGCAAGAACCTGCCTCCTTCGTACAGGGAGACAGCTTTACCCGACGAATCCTCCGATGATGACCAGCCATTGGGCGCCAGGCTTGCGCAAAAGAAGGCGGACATTGAAAAGGCAGCCGCCAAGGAGGCTCGCAGCATTCGTGCCAACGAGGCCAAGGCAAAGAAGGCAACCCCGAAGAAGGCAAAGAAGGAAGAGTCTTCCGACGACGATGTGCCTTTAGCCAGGTCGGGAGCGAAGAAGCGCCAATCGAACGGTGCCAGAAAGTCAAATGGAGTCAAAGCAGAATCGGATTCCGATGTTCCCATCGCAAGAAAGGCTGCAGCGAAGAAGGCGACCCCGGCCAAGGCCACGGCAGCAAAGGGCAAGGCTGCCGCGGCACCAGCCAAAAAGAGCGCGAAGGCTAAGGCGGAAAGCGAGGCTCCTGAAGACGAGGAGGAGGAAGAGTACGAGTGGTGGAACGCCCCTAAGAAGGAGGACGACAGCGTCAAGTGGAAGACCTTGGAGCACAACGGCGTCATGTTCCCACCCGAGTACCAGGCTCTCCCCAAGAACGTCAGACTGCTCTACGATGGCAAGCCGGTCAACCTGCCTATCGAAGCCGAAGAAGTTGCCTGTTTCTTCGGAGCGATGCTGAACTCCAAGCACAATGTCGACAACCCCGTCTTCCAGAAGAACTTCTTTGACGATTTCAAGGCCGTCCTCAAGGAGTCAGGCCACGCAACCGACAAGCAAGGCAACAAGGTCGACATCAAGGATTTCATGAAGATGGACTTCGAGCCCATCTTCAACTACTACGAACAACAGAGCGCCATCAGAAAGAACCGGACTGCTGCAGAGAAGAAGGCAATCAAGGCTGAGAAGGATGAGACAGAAGCTCCCTTCATGTACTGCAAGTGGGATGGCCGCAAGGAAAAGGTTGGCAACTTCCGCGTTGAACCTCCAAGTCTATTCCGCGGCCGCGGCGAGCACCCCAAGACTGGAAAGCTCAAGAAGCGAGTGTATCCTGAGCAGATTACCATCAACATTGGCAAGGACGCAAAGGTCCCGGAACCACCCAAGGGTCACAAGTGGAAGGCCGTCGTCCATGACAACAAGGCTACTTGGTTGGCTATGTGGCAGGAGAACATCAACGGTGCATACAAGTACGTGATGCTCGGCGCTGCCAGTGCAATCAAGGGTCAGAGCGACATGAAGAAGTTTGAAAAGGCAAGAGAACTCAAGAAGCACATCGACAAGATTCGCAGGGATTACACAAAGGATCTCAAGAGCGAGGTCATGGCGGACCGACAGAGAGCCACGGCCGTGTACCTGATCGATAAGTTTGCTCTCAGGGCTGGCAACGAGAAGGACTCTGAGAACGAAGCCGAGACCGTCGGTTGCTGTTCCCTCAAGTATGAGCACATCACCCTACGCGAGCCCAATACCGTCATCTTCGACTTCCTCGGAAAGGACAGTATTCGATTCTACGACGAAGTCACTGTTGAGAAGCAGGTCTTCAAGAACTTGAAGCTCTTCAAGAAGTCGCCCAAGACCGACGGAGACGACATTTTCGACCGCCTGACCACTACCCAGCTGAACAACCATCTCAAGAACTACATGCCCGGCCTGACGGCGAAGGTCTTCCGTACCTACAACGCGTCCTTCACGATGTCCACTCTCCTCCAGAAGCTGGTCGATCACAAGAACCTGACAATCGCGGAGAAGGTGAAGCTCTACAACGACTGCAACCGTGAGGTAGCCATTCTGTGCAACCACAAACGCACTGTCGGTGCTGCCCACGAGGCGCAGATGGAGAAGCTCGGCGATCGCATCAAGGGCCTCCGGTACCAGCAATGGCGCACGAAGCAGATGATGCTTCAGATCGACAACAAGGTGAAGAAGAAGAAGGGCGCCGACTACTTCGCTCGTCCGGAAGAGTTGACCGACGAGTGGATTCTCGAGCACCAGAAGTTCCTGGTGGAAGAGCAGCGCACCAAGATTGAGAAGAAATTCCAGAAGGATAACGAGAAACGTCTGGCCGATGGCGAGAAGCCGTTCCCCGATAAGGAGCGTAAGGAGCGCCTTAAGGCTGCGGACGAACTCGCCGCCAAGTTCAAGAAAGAGAACAAGTCTAAGAAGGTCGAGCCGGAAGGCCGAGGCCCTACGGTTGAGAAGCTCGTTGAGCAGGCCAAGAAGATTGATGACAGAGTCAAGACTTTGGAGCTCCAGGCCGCTGATCGCGATGGCAACAAGGAGGTTGCCTTGAGCACCTCCAAGATCGTAAGTCGTTCGCCTAGTTGACATGATTTCAAAGCTAACGTAGTCCAGAACTACATTGATCCTCGCCTTACGGTCGTCTTTGCCAAGAAGTTTGACGTTCCTATTGAGAAGTTCTTCTCCAAGACCCTGCGCGAGAAGTTCAGCTGGGCCATCAAGTCTGTTGAGGATGACGACTGGGAGTTCTGATCACGTTCTTTTCAGGATTCCGGTTGCTTTCCCGAACCAACCCATCGTACCTCATCATTTTTACTGTATTTGTTTGTTTGTACCAAAAGCATTTCTATTTCAGCATTCGACCCCGGGGCCAGGGAGTCCTGCCAGTTAGGGACCACTCTGCACGATGGCTCGATGCAGTATCTGGACAAGGTACTCAGGACGGCAAGGAGAAAAGGTATATATCAGCTGCGGTTGAGAGCACGAGGAAGTGCCAATGCATACAGCGAAGGGGGGGTTGCCAACTAAAGAGATAAAACGGAGCTTTCGTAGAGAACGGTGATCTGGGGGGGCCTTGGTCCACCGGTCGCGCGTTCTTGCTATAGAGCCACAGCCAGGCCACAGCAGACTAGACTAGCTTAGTTAATTGAAATAATAGCGAATTCAACAACTCTGTGTTGTCTTATACATGTGATGTCAAGCTTTAACATGCAGCTTGGCCAAAATTGGTGGTTCGGCTTAGCTTGTGTTTATTGCTTACGGGAACGCAGGTAAAGAGCCTCTTCGGTGTACCGGTCCATTGTCCAAGATAGAAAAACGGTACCAAATCCCAAGGTGGTTCTTGAGGGCGTAAGTCTAGAGCGCGTTGGGAGTCGACATCCGAGGAAGCAATGTTATCAAGTCACCCAGTATACGACATACGATGACGAAAAGGACTTCTGCGACGCACTTGACCCAAATTCGCCCCAACAAAACGAAACAGATGATGAAAAACGAGAGGCCCGGTTTGAGAGTTACAAAAGCCATGAAGACAAACGTCAAAAAGCAAAAGTAATCGACGTTGGCCTGATTCGAACAGACGCTCCCGAAGGAACATGATTTCTAGTCATGCGCATTAGACCACTCTGCCACAACGCCGGTTGAAACTTTTGGAGACCGACGTCATACAAGAAGCCGGACTCTCAGGACCCACTCAATGGAGTCGCTTAATTGGGCTGATTTGGCCTGCTCCTCACTGCGAAGAGAGATCACATTGAAGGGTATTTTGCAACAAGCACCATGGTAGTTGTTTTTCCTTTGGCAATTCGCTAATATTTGGTTGCTCTTTGCGTATAGTAAGGTACGCTGCGTCTATTCTATGAACATCTCAGTTGATATGAGTGTTTCAATCCAATCCAATTCGTAACGGTTTCCCTTGATGCTCCCCAAAAACGCCGTCCGATGCAAAGACCCTTTTTACAAGGTGAGCCACCCGTTTTCCTAATGTCATACATATCCCCCCAAAGCCACCCAGAAAGTGGGAGAAATGTTCCCCCTTTACATGCTATCCATTACATCGTGTAAAACATCGACATCCCCTTTCCTTCTCAACGAAAATTGCAAAAAAAAAAAAACCGAATATCACAAAACACATCCCCAGGTAGTAAAGGGGAACGGGGTATCATTGCATCCTTCACCGCCCCATCAAAGCGAAAACACCAACAGCAAACGACACCACCAAGACCAAACACGAAGGACGCACCGAGTTCCCCGCGCCGTCGGGGATAATCTTACCCTCGGAGGTCATGCGCCAGCCATCCGGCACAGAACCACCGGTGGGTCTCGCGCTCGCAACCCAAGGCCACCCAGTCTGCGTCGCGGAAGCCGACTCGTCGGCACCGATACCGCCGCGCGGCACCGTAGGCGCGGGAGAGCCCGTCTCGGCGGCCGCGCTGGCCGTGTAGGTGACCTGGCTCGCCTTGCCCAGGTTCCCGTTGACCTGGCCGTCGACGGCCTGGATGGAGCCCCAGTTGCCCGTGGTGTCGGTGTATTTGTACTCCTTGCCCGTCGAGTAATCTGTAATCGAGACGTCCTTGACGACCATGTGGAAGGGCCCCTTTGTAAAGTCCGTCGGTCCGCGGGCCCAGTCGATCGTTCCGGCGGCGTTGGCAGGGTCGCCGCCGGACCAGGAGCCGAATTTGACCTGCATGGGCGACTGCGGGTACTGGTTCGTGTCGGCCTCGGCTTCGGTGAGTGTGCGGACGACGGTGCCGTCGATGGAGAAGACGATGCGCTCCGACGTCCAGTCGATGGTGTACGTCATAAAGTTGTCCTGGTTGTTCTTGTCCGTTTGGTGGAACTGGCCGCGGTTGTACGTCGTCACGTCGCCCTTGCCAAAGTAGTTTGACTGCACCTCTGTCGGGTCGGCGCCGAGCCACTCCATGTCGATCTCGTCGAGGGTGTCGGACTGCAGAACGAGGGAGCTGACGATGCCGGCGCCGGTGGCGGCCTTGAGGGTGATCTCGACGCGGCCGAACATGATGTAGAAGAGGGACATGAGCTGCGGCGCCTGGCCCGAGGCGGCGACGCTAAAGGTTACGCCGTCGGAGCCGTAGGTTGGGTTTCCCGAGGCGGCGAAGGAGTTTACGGCGCCTTGGGTGAAGTCGACGTGGATGGCCATGCCGAGGGCTGTGTCGGCGGGGCATGATGCTGAAGAGCGGGGAGGGAGAGGTTAGTATGTTGCTTATTGGTGGTATCGTGTGACGGCAGTTGAGACTTACTCTGTTGGAGGGGGTTACACGATGAATATGTCTGCGCTGATGCTGTTGTTGCCAACGCCGTCAGGCCGGCGACTATTCTTCTTGAGAAGAACATTGTGTCTTTTGAATGTGCGAGGGTTCCACTGCAGACAGCTAGTAGAGGGGGAAGGTACTACAAGGCTCCGGAGGTCGAGAGTGAAGTTGTCGGAGCAAGAGAGGAGGGTAGGTTAGGTAACTCAAGTCTCCTCCCACTTGAAGAGAATCTCCAAGTCGAACCACCGAAGAAAAAGAAAGCAACAAAAAAAAAAGGCCCGCTTCGACCTAAAGCCAAGGCCCGTTGGGAGCTGGCGACGTCACAGGGAAAAAAGATGCAGACAAGGATCCGTGTAAGTCCGTGGCACGTCGCACTTGGGCAACACGAGGGGGTGGGACAGGAGTAAGCGTGAGGTAGGGAGAGAAGTGGCAGCAGCAAGAACAAGGAAAAATTATACATCACACGAGCGAGCCGTGATAAATGGCAGCAGCAGATGGTGTTATATGATATGAGCTGTGCTGCATGTTCCCAATCATTTTCAATGTGCCCAGCCACTGGCAGCTGCAGTAGCGTCATCGGGCCGCGCAGGGCCCTTTTTTGCTCTTGGGTTCCAAGGAGTCTGTCTTTCGGGCCTTGGGCCTTGGAAAATAGTCCAAGAGAATTCAACCCATGCGCCGCCACCTACCTACCTACCAAGAGGGTGTGGGGGTGGGCGATGAGTGGAAATGAAGGGACATCAACATCGAGATGTTTTTCCATTTTTTTTCCTGCGTTGGACGAACAGCAATCAATGGCCGTTGTTCCGCGGTGCCGCTACGTGGTGTTCCCTGTTCGTTGTCCGTCCAACTCGGATTGGCTGCCCTGGAAAGAAAGTTGACGAGGGAGAGGTTGGGATGAATTTGCGCGTTCTGATTGGTGGACAGGTAGCGTTGAAAATGGCGTGGCTGGTGAACGACGACGGGTGGCTGGGGCTCCGCCAGACCCTTGGCGTCAGGACTCGAGACCCGTCGACTCGGTGCCAGAATCGTGTGAGACCCTCTTCCGCAGCAACCCCCAAGGATTGGTGAGAATCATGATAGCTGCATTGGGGGTAAATCTCTGACGATGATATTCAGGTACGGAGTACGCAAGATGGGGGCTCGGGACGCGAGGCCTCGCATGAGTGTGGGATACATACGAATTGGCAGGGGGGGCTTCTTCGGGCTTCGATGTCCACGGGCGCCGGCTCTCACATCCGGGTTTGTGACGATTGCGGATCCATATGTTTGGCGGATAGGTGTCTCGGACAGGGGCGCAGGCAGCTGACGGTGACTGGCACTTACATCGACATGCCTGTGACGCGAGGGAGCCATTGCGCTGTCTGGGATTTTCGTGCGCTGATGTGTTGGACTCGACGGAAGACCAGGCTTCTGTGCGCCTGACAAAGAACCACAATGATATGTCTCGAATGCCGTTCGTCCCGGACGAAAAACCCGTCCATCATAATTCTTCCCTCGTTCGACCTACCCACTGATGAGTGTGAGCTGACACCCGGTCCTCCGATAGTCCCGCCAACCGGCCGACGGTCGAGTAGGTATTCCGGACGGGCCCCGGTTCGGGGTCTCCACACGGAGCCGGACCCACTGGCTCCACCACCATCCTCCGCGACCGGCGTCACGAAATCCCTCCTTAACAGGTCGCCGATTCCCCCTTCCCCTCCCCGCAGTCTAGCACAGTACCACGACTAGAGTCACGAACTGGACTTTAACCAACACTAAAAAGAGAACGCTTACAGCGCCCGCAGCGGTCAGAGACCCCTAATTACCTAAAAATTACGGGCAAACAGTAGCACAATGCGGGGGAGTCATGGGTAGCTGCGGGTAGCTGCGGGCCGCCCCACCACCTGGTGCACCCACCCGCGCCCGCGGGGAGAGTGTCAGATACGCCTTACGCCCTTTGTTATCTCGAAGGCTCCCTGAACTCGGGCTGAGGTAACCGCAACCTCCAACACAGATCACAACATCTCTCAGCGGACTCTTGAGATCTCACAGTAAACACAATTCTTCTTCCAAAACATCGCACAACTGAACTCGGTCGCCGCCAGCATGTATTCGAGAGCCGCTTGCCGTGGCCTCAATGGCTCAGTCTGCCGGGCATCCACTGATCCCTTATCAGCAGCTGTTGCCCCTCCTCTCACATCTCGACTGACAGATCTCCGGCTCCGGAGCCGGGAGCGCGCCCCTGTGACCTGGGAGCCCGTCACCTCTCAACGCCCGTTTCACTCAAAGTCGAGTGACAGATCCGTGGCAGACGCCGTCCCCGTCGAGAGAACAGCGACCTTTGAGAAGCGCCAGCAGCCGTCACCATTCGATGGCGTCCGGGAACGCAGGGTCAAGGCCGGCAAGCTGATTGCGGGCGTGGCCGCGGCTTCAGACAGTGACATGTTTAAAGCTCCCGTATGCCATCTCTCTCTCTCTCTCTCTCTCTCTCTCTCTGTCAGACATCTTTTACTTCATAGCATACTAATCCTCACTCATAGGCAGTCGGGAAACCCAATTCAAAGCGATGGGACCGTAAGCTTTACTCATCCTCTCTCACCCCTTGAACCTCTCACTGACACAACCTCCAAGATCACCTCTCCAAAGAATCTCTCGCCCGCCACCCCTGCTCCCTCAAACAAGCCGCCCGCCACCTGAAAAAACCAGGCCTCATCTCCCTCGGCGGCGGCCTCCCCTCGAGCGCCTACTTCCCCTTCGCCTCCCTCTCCGTCCGCGTCCCCACGGCCCCGCACTTCTCCGAGGCCGACACCATCGGCGCCCACGGCCAAGACATCACCGTCGGCAAATACGACGTCCGCGACACCCCAGACGCGGAATACGACCTCTCCATCGCCCTAAACTACACCCAGTCCACCGGCTCCGCCCAGATGATGCGCTTCGTCACGGAACACACCGAGCTCGTCTACAACCCACCCTACGCAGACTGGCAGTGCTGCCAGACCGTCGGCAGCACCGCCGCGCTCGAGCAGACGCTGCGCATGTTCTGCGATAAAGACCGCAAGGACGCCGTCCTGACGGAGGAATACAGCTTCTCCACCGCGCTCGAGACCATTGCCCCGCTCGGCGTGAAAGCCGTCGGCGTCCCCGTCGACGCGGAAGGTTTGCTTCCCCACGCCATGGACGAGATGCTCTCCGCCTGGGACCCGGAGGCGCGAGGCGGGCACAGGAAGCCGCATCTGCTGTACACCGTCCCCTCGGGCCAGAACCCCACGGGCGCAACGCAGTCCGCGGCCCGGCGGCGCGCCATCTACGCCGTGGCGCAGAAGCACGACCTCTACATCATCGAGGACGAGCCCTACTACTTCCTCCAGATGCAACCCTACACCGGGCCCGAGACCCCTTCCGCCCCGCCCCCGTCCTCCGTCGACGAGTTCCTCGGCACGCTGATCCCCTCCCTCCTAAGCATGGACACGGACGGCCGCGTGCTCCGAATGGACTCCTTCTCCAAGGTCCTCGTCCCGGGTTCACGCCTGGGCTGGGTCACGGCGTCGGCGCAGGTGATTGAGCGCTTCATCCGCCACGCCGAGGTAGCGAACCAGGGGCCCAGCGGGTTCTCGCAGGTCGCCGTGTGGAAGCTTCTCGACGAGACGTGGGGACACGAGGGCTACCTCCAGTGGTTGATGAACTTGCGCATGGAGTATACGCAGCGCCGCGACTGGCTGCTCGCCGCGTGCGAGAAGCATCTTCCCCGTGACATTGTGAGCTGGACGCCGCCTGCTGCTGGCATGTTTGTAAGTTTTACTTCCTCCTCCTCCTCCTCCTCCTCCTCCTCCTCCTACTCCTTCTTCTTCCTTCACACCCCTCTAGTATTGCAGTCGTTGCTCCCTAGACTGACCATTTATCTCTCTGCTATACAGCTATGGCTCAAGATAGACCACACCGCCCACCCAGATAGCAGCACAACCCGCCCCCTCCTCGAAATCGAAGAAGAAATATTCAACTCGTGCATCGACAAGGGCGTCCTCTGCGCCCGCGGCTCGTGGTTCCGCACCGAGCAAGACACACCCCTCAAAGACCTCTTCTTCCGCGCCACCTTTGCCTCGGCGAGCGAGCAGGACATGGATAAGGCGATTCAGAGGCTGGGGGCTGCCATTAAGGAGAGTTTCCGCGTTGCGTGAGAAAGAAGAAGAAAAACTTGCTTGTAGGCAGGCCTTTTGGTTTCTTTCGTTCCCTCGGTATCACTTCGTTTCTGTTTTTTTCTTCCTTTTTTTTTCTTCTTTTTTTTGGGGGAATTTTCATGTCATCTTCCGCATCGCGTTAACTCTAATCTTTGCATGAGCTTGGTCCAGAGGTTAGGTTGGTTAGGCATTATCATTATTATCATCATCACATTTGGAGCGTGGGCTCAGGAGGCTACGAGTAACTTATTCCCAATCGCATTGGGGGGCGCTTAGAATAAGGGGTAGTTATGCTTGATTATGGAAGATGAATGGGCCCAGACTCACGGTTGGGTATTTCCAAATAACAAATTCCATAACGAAAGAGCATTTCTCCATGACAGTGTACGCAAAAGTGTACGCCAGACATGACGGGCCCAGTCGCAAAAGCTATCCCATTATAGAACACAAGTTTCCTTGGTAAAGAGTACGGATGCAGATCCAATAAGTCCCATCACGGGAATCTTCAGCATCCATCTGATAACGAACCTTCCCACTCACAAGCCTCTTCAATTCCTCAAGTCGTCTTGAGATGATCCATATCCGGGGCTCAGTAGCCAGTCTCCCGCATACACTGCACCCGAGGTTGCCAAGACAAGGTCGCTCATGCACATCAGCAGCCACATCAACTCCGACTGCTCACTTCCGCCCTATGCGTAGTCTGCAGATCATGGGTACGCCCGCCCTGCTTACTCTGCTTCTTGCCTGAAGTAGAGAACGTAGTTAGGCTTCCCTAAACTGGCTTCGGCCTGTTGGGCTTCCAGGTTGTTGCGATGTGGCTTGGCATCATGCCTGGGTTGTCCGTTACACAAGGAGGTTGCTTATCCCAACCTCCCACACCAGTCGGCTACAGTGCGCCTAAAAGACGAGCCGGCGCTGTCCTGTTACACACCTCATCCAGAAGTAACGTGTAGATTATTCGTCGTAATCGTCAAAATCGTCCCGCCTAATCCAGATACTCTTTCCAACAAGTTTGTCGCGCCCAAAAATGAGACGTACCAAAACCCCATTTCTTCAACCTTTTTAACCCTGCTTCGCCCTCCAAAAAGCAACCTTGACACCATCCCCAGGCTGCAACACAATCTCCGCCTTGAGCGTCGGCTTCCCGCCGTCGACGGCATCCATGTAGCTCGTCACCCTCTCAAACTTTTGGAACAGCCGGCACAGCGTATAACTCATCTCCGTCAGCGCAAACTGCTGCCCGATGCAGATGCGCGGGCCGCCGTTGAAGGGGATGTACGTCCACGGCTTCGGCTGCCAGTGGTACCACCGCTCGGGCGAGAAGGCGTCCGGGTGCGCAAACGTCTCGGACACGGGCGGGTACAGGTCCTCGCGGCGCTGCATCAGGAGCGTGGAGTACCCGATCGGCGTGTCCTTGCACACGGCGAGCGGTAAGGTGCCGTCGGGCCCTCCACCGACGGGGAGGGTCGTGTCCTTGAGGGCGAGGCGGACGTTGAAGGGCACGGCGGGGTAGAGGCGCAGGACCTCGTTCATGACGTTTTGGAGGTACTTCATGTTCTTTAAGTCGGCGTAGGTGGGCTCGCAGTCGAGGCCGACCTGCTCGACGATCTCGGCGCGGAGCTTGCGGACGACGTCCGGATGGCGGCCCAGCTCGTAGAGTGTCCAGGAGAGGGAGGCGGCGGTGGTGTCGCGGCCGGCGAGGAGGACGGCGACGAGCTGGTCGCGGAGGGCTTTGCGGTCGCGGGTGAAGCTGGCGAGCTCGTGGAGGAAGGTGTAGCCTTGGTCGGATTTCGTCTTGGAGGCGAGCTCCTCGGGGCTCAGGCGGAGGGCGCGCTCGATGAACTTGTTGACGAATCCGTTGATGACGTTGAGGCCGGCGCGGAAGGAGAAGAGGGGGATGAAGAGTTTCAGCTTGGCGGCGCGGGCGATGATGTTTTGGACGCGCTGGACTTCGTTGAAGGCCTCGGCGAATTCTTGCTTCACGGTTCTGTTGGAGTTTGTGTTAGTCTGTGGTGCTGCAGAGGTTTTGTGAGGTGAAGAACTCACGACAGTGACTTGACATCCTGGCCTAGGAGAAAGTCGGTGGCCACGTCCAAGGTATACCGGAAAAGGAGGTCCGAGACGTCCATGACCTTGCCGTCAACAGCATCCATATCAACGACCTGGCCCTCACCATCCAAAGCACCACCGTTGGCAATAGCCTTGAACAAGGTCTGGATATGCGACTCGAAGCAATGCAAATCACTGACGCGGTCCTTGATGAACTGGGGCCGGATGAGCTGGCGGCTGGCGTGCCACTGGTCGCCGTCGGTGGTGAAGATGCTGTCGCCGAGGAACTCCTTCCACTCCTGGTGGAAGGGCTCGCCCTTGCCGTAGTCGGAGAACTGGGTGGCGAGGATGGCCTTGATGTTCTCCGGGTCGGCGGTGAAGACGATGCGCAGGCCCAGGACCCTCTTCTCGCCGGTCCAGCCCTTGACTTTGGAGAGCATGTCCTTCCAGAACTCGACGTTCTTGTGTGCCATTGTCCCGCGGACGGCCTTGAAGATGAAGTCGATGCCTGGTGTTGGGGGAAATGTGAGTAAAATGGGGCGTGGATGAAGATTTG